AAAGGGTTTAATTGGGGAATTGGTGGTTTTGGTCAGCTGTCAGTTTTGAAGAAACCTAGAGAAAGCTATATCAGCTAATGAATCATAATCATTGGCCTCAGGAGCTAAGTAAAGGGAGATTCCATGCGCAGCTTTTTCAGTGGAAAAAACTTTTCACAATTGAGGACCCAAAAAACAAATTTATTATTGAGGATCAGGTGCCTTCCTGGTCTACTACCTTGAAAATTTGTTTAGGAGCAATGTTTTATACAGGGTTTAATTGGGGAATTGGTGGTTTTGGTCAGCTGTCAGTTTTGAAGAAACCTAGAGAAAGCTATATCAGCTATCCCGGGTCATTGATGCTCTATGTGATGCTCTATGAAATGCACATCTCTATCCTCTATGAATTGCCTTTTGGGTACCCATTTTATAGAGAGCTAGGTGCCCTGGACGTTGTCGAAGATGTCCAGAGGGCATTCTATAGATACCTGTGGTGCCACAGATTGGGGGCAGTAACTTTGCATACTAGAAGTATGCCAGTCTGAGCATTTTATAGAAGGGAAGGCTGACATGTGGAGGATACAGTCATTTGCCATGATAGGCATTCTATAGTGGCAGCTGCTCTTTTTGGTATGATGTCACAAAGGCATTTCATAGAGGCTTGGTATGTTGCAAGCAGGCATTTCATAGAGATCAGAGATGGGAGCGTGGAAGTGGAAGAGCCTGGTTTGGAAGTCAGCGCCCAAACATCGTCGCCATGAAATGCCTGGCTCAAGTTTAAACAGGATGTACGTGTGGATGTTTCTGATATGGTTTATACTCATTTTTTCTTACAGTGTATTCTTTTCCAATGGAATTTTGGGAGTAGACTTCAAACTGCAATAGCGTTTTCTAGCTTGGCTTTCATACTACCACTTGGCCATTTTGGCCTGCGAGCGTGAGGGGAAAGACGCTCAACAAAGCCATGGCGCCCAAAAAGAAGACGGACAAGTCGATATGGGTCGTGGAAGCCCGATCTAGGAACAAAGATCCGGACAAGTATGATGTCTACTGGGACTGGCTGGGGGAAGATGGCACAATCTTGTGGCACGGGGCAAGCTTTAAGAAAGCTGACAGAACCATGATCATGAATCAATATTGTATTTGTTTGATCCTTTTTTTCGGGAGTGGTTTGTTTCCAATCTAGAAACAGTTGGAGTATGTTGGAGTAATTAGATAATATTGTGAACGCGCGTGTCCAAGATGCAATTCTCAGATTCTCAGGCTATGCGAAGGAGCATGATTTGCCGCAACCTCCAACGAGCAAGGAAGCAAAGGCCCTGATTGATGAATCAGGAGATTTTTTCAAAATCTGAAGTGGGTGTTGCACAATGGAATTTAACGCGCTTGAATCGGTCGCCAACGGAAACCACCAGGATCCACCAGGGTGATCCCATCCCGTGCCCGTGATTTCTTCTCCAGGAAAACACAACATCCGCCTTTCATGGACTGCGCCCACACATGTTGCCCAGAAGGCGCATTTTTTTCCAATTTGATCATTTTTAAGTGGGGTTGGTGGACGGGTCGAAATGGTCGCGATATGCCAGCAGCTGTAGGCGGAGGAAGCACAGAAGATACAGAAGGAAGTGAAGGCAAAAGCTTCTTTCACAGGACAGATTCTCAGGTTCATCTAGAAAGAATGCTTTGAATTTGGAATGCACATGAATGCACTATAAAATGGTGGATGTAAACTTCAAGAATGAAGTTTTTGTTTTCCAGCAGTGTTAATCCCAAAGATGTCATTTAATAGATGCTCCAATGATCTTGTGTTTTTTGTGCGAAGTGATATCAAATGCAACTGGTGAGTTCCTTCACAGAACTGAACAGTTCATATCACTGGCATGTCCATTTTATAGAAACTACTGTGTTTCTGTGTGTGAGACTTGTCCATTGATATGAAATGCACCTGGTGTGTTCCCTAGAAATTGATCATGAACATGAGCAGTCCCTATCACTGGCATGTCCATTTTATAGAGACTACAGTAATACATTTTGGATTAGTTTGGTGCCCTCCAGGAATTGATGCTCCAGAGAAGGCATCGAAGTTGGCAGGCATGCTGGGAGTGTTTGAAAGTTTTGCGGGTTGTGACGCGCAGCATAAGGATGCACACATGCCTGCTCTATCCTGCCTCAGCATTTGGCTTTTGCTCCCGATTGTGCCATTCGTAAACATTTCTTGCACCGATGGTCCGCACTCTTTGGTTCCTTGTGTGCTTTGTAGCTGCTAGACTGCAAGGTCCTTTTAGAAGGTTTCATAATATTTCATATTACAGTAGAAGATATATAGTTGAAGATGATGGGAGAGTATTGGGATTGATTGCAATCTCCCGCTTGTAAGGCACATGCGGCACCCTCACTTGATCAAGACAGCAGCCTCCCCGAAAGTCAGTGGCACCATGCGGCTGAGCACTATCAGGAATGGCTCAATGAGGGCAGGTCCTTTTCAGGCTGCTGCTGCAACCTGCTGTATTGTTTGTTTTTGTCCTGTTTGAAGTCATGGCAGCGTCATGGTGCATTCTGACTTTTTGGAGGCAGGCAAGAGTGGTACTGCCTGGATCTTTTCTCGGCTTCGCAGTCCGTGGCCAGCACATTTCGCAAGAATGGATGGCCTGCAACATCTTATGACATCAAGTCAAATAGGGCCAGCGACATTACCAGCATGTCTGGTTTTGGTCGTCTGCTCCTGTTGGGCCTAGGGCTTCTCAACTGATCTCAACTGCGTTCTTGGGGCTCTATAAAATGCAATTGCTTTATTTTCAATTCAAGGCCTCATTGGCTTACCCCTTGGTAGTCAAGGGTTGTCATTTTATAGTGAGCATGCGTGAGCATATGTGTGTTAGTTTGTAGGGTGCCAGGTGTGACCAGTCAATGCCCATGAGGTTCTATAAAATGCTAAAATGAAACATTGCGCCCATAGGCCCCATTTGCATTGGCTTTTGATAGTCATGCGGTTTCATTTCATAGTGAGACAATGTGAGAATGACGAGCGCAAACCAGCGCTACAGCTTCAGGCTCCATGATGATGGCTTCTTGATGTGCGCTCCACCTTGCAGCCTTTTCGTGGCTATATCTTCCTCAGTACACATGCGAGACGATTCTTGGGCCCCAAACATGATCAGTCATCAAAAATCAATGCTCACCGTAGATCCATTGGGGACCGCTCAGGTTGCTAGAGGACCTTCAAGTGTGTTTTGGCAATCAGGAACACCTTCCGGAGGGCGCCATCATATATAAGTCTGTGAGATTGGCAAACCTGATCTTAGCCAATTTCGCCACTCCGTTGCAAATTGTTGCCTAGACATGGGCATAGATTGTTTGGGCCAACTTGCAAGGATCTTGTGAAGTCTTGTAATGGTTTGTGAGAGTGTGATACGGTCCTGCGATGGCTGCAGGTGACCTTTCTGTACTTGATGAAGGAGCTTCGTCCCAACATCAGGGTGGTGGTCGAGCAACCATCCTCATCTTTTATGTTCAAGGATCCAGGCTTTAGAAAGATTGCAGCTCTCTGGAAGATGGTTAAATATATGACACACCTTGGATTGTGGGGGCATGACCTCATGAAATGTACCCACTTGCAATCCAATATGGATACATCCAAGAAATGTGAACGCCGTGCAACGAAAGAAGCAAAGCGGCGTCACCGTGAGCGAATGGAGCGAAAACGGGCACGGCAAATTCGTGCAGGTAGAGTTCCAAAAGTGTACTACTTCAAACTGGAAGGTAAGAAGTTTCAGGGCGGGCCAGACTTGGCCGGGAGCGCTCAATACCCACAGCGCTTTGTCACTTGTTTGTTCCGTGCTTGGCTGCAGTGGCGTTCCCAGTGGTCCAGGCAGGCAAAGGCTGCCTGAATTGTTTAGACTCTTTGCGAGGGCAAAGTGCAATGGGGCATGCCATGAAATGCCGTGATATCGTATACATCATATGTTCTGAGAATGTGTTAGTGTAGTTAGATTTCCCTTTGGGGCCACAAGTTTCAGTGGTGGAAGGATTGCAACGCATCTCTGAGGGCGTTGATGCATGATGGCAACCATCACACCAAGACTTTACAGTAGCCCGCAGAATGCCTGAAAAAATGCTCCTGCTCAGGTGCAATCTTAGGATTTATAAAGTGACCCACCCAGAGAACGCAGAGCGAGCACTTTGACTTATATAGATTTTTTTCTTTGACTGCAGCATTTTACAGAGATGGACTTTGGTGTGAGCACCATCATTGGCAGGCAATGAGGGTGACCACAAGGCTGCAAAAGACACCGGCCATGTGCTCCCAGCAGAAGGCACGCAGGTTACGTGTTCTTTTTGAAGGAGGGGTTGTAATGGGCTGTTCATGGTTGTACTCTATGAAATGGGCCACACAAGGAACATATACAAATTTATTTTGGCGTTGTCCTTATTTGGTCTAGGCAACGCATTCTATAGAGACTTTATTTTGGAGTCAACACCACGCGTTTCTTGTGCAGGCAATGAAGGTGAACAGAAGCCCAACCATGACACCACCACCACCGAGACAC